TGTTATCAATGCTCCACGAATGACTGGCCGCCATCAGAACCAGCCCTAATTAGAGCTCCTCATCCGCTACTGGTTACCCCCCCAACCAGGCGCTGATCTATAAAAGAAGGTGGAGCGCGAGACCAGTTAGCAGCGGGAGCATCTACAAGAGGGATGGAGTCTGCTAAGGGCTCTCCACCCGATACGGACGATCAGAGGGCCTTGCGGCGGTAAGATTTCTTCTATTCCTCGAGTTTTATAATCTCTAAAACGATCAAATAAAAAAATAGCTCAAAAACGTCTATCCCACCTTATATAATTTGGTCGCGTATCTTTGTGTGTGTGTGTGTGTGTGGATGTCACTTTCGAGGCCCGATTTGAGGGCCTTCCCGTGTCCAAAATGTCTTAATTCTCCGTCACCCGGGGGAATCGAACCTCCTCTTTCCAATGGTGCTTTCAAAATCCCGATAAAGTACAAGTTTACAAAGTTAAAGCCGGTTTTATTGATTTTTGGGGGTCCGGGAGGGCTAATTTGCATAATGTGAAAAAATACAAATTTCCTCATTCTTGCCAGTTGCACTCGCGAGTTTGGTCGTCTCTTTGGATCTGCCTCTCGATGCATTTCCTTCCCCCTGCCCCGGGCAGTCCTCTTGGGGCATAAAACGGGTGTTTGACGCATGCTGCCAAGCATTGCATGGCGTAGTGGTTAGCGCTTCGCCTTGCTAATCCAACCATCGGAGGTTCGATTCTCGGATATCGTAGTTGTTTTGATTTTTGCTCGGAAAGTGCGTTTCGGAGTAGATTTCCGTGTAGGGACGTTATTATGAAGTTAGTCACTCAAGCCGCAGCCTATAGAATGAAGCTACCCGCTCAAGCATGCGCCGCAGGCCAAGGAATCAAGCTAACTGCTCAAGCTAGCGCCGCAGAGTTTGGAACGACGCTAGCCGCTGAAACTAGCGCCGCAGGCTAAAGGTTCAGGCCGGCCCCTGAAACTAGCGTCGCAAGCTTCGGTAGGAAGTTAGCCGGGCAAGCTAGCGCCGCGGGCCCAAGTCAGAGCTAGCCCTTCAAAATTGCGCCTCGGGATAAGGAGGCTCAAGCTTGCGCCGCAGGCTTTGTAGCGAAGCTAGCCGCTCAAGCTAGCGCCGCAGGCTTTAGAACGAAGCTAGCCGCTCAAGCTAGCGCCGCAGGCTTTAGAACGAGGCCAGCCGCTCAAGCTGGCGCCAAAGGCCAAAAAAGGAGGCTAATCCCTCAAGCTTGGGCCGCAGGATGAGCCCGATCAAACATGCGGCGCAGGCCTAATAACGAGACTAACAGTTCAATCTTGCGCCGCATGCCAATACAAAGAGCTTTGCATGGGAGATGGGTGTTTCTTTCTTCAGGGTAATTTTATGTGGAAGGGTGCTCGATTCATAGGGCCTAGACGGGGTCCAGCGGGGGAGAAGTCGCGAAGCGGCTCCTCCCCCGCTGGTTTTAATGATATAAAACTTGCAGGGCGGCGTTCCTGGCTGTCGCAACATCGACGGCGGCCATTGTCGCAGCGATTGTGACGCTGCCAATGTTATATTCTTATGTCCAATCCTTCCGGTCGCATCTCGTCCTCGAAACCGACTTCTGCAAGGTTAGCGTAAAGGCCGTAAGGGTGCTGGTTTATTAGCGAAGGGGGGGGGGGGGGAACCAGGATTTTCCTGATTCCGTCAGTGCCCAGCCCCCAATGGTGAAGGAGAAACCATTTTCATAGCCTTTTATGCCTTTTTAGATCCAAAAAGTCTATAAAAACTATACAAATTTCGAAAAACGTATCAACCATGGCCAATAATCTATTTATGAATCTTTTCATTATATTTAAGTGGCAGTAAACGACGAAAAACACGAGAAAAATAGTTTATGTTTTATTATTATTTAGGTTAGGCGGAATAAAAAAGGCTGCCCCCCCCGCTAACGAACCAGAACCCAAAAATCTTGATTTCGACTTACCACAAACAAAATGCTTCCCGTTTCCAGTCTCGCGCCCGCGATATGTGGTCCGAGATGGAGGCGACCACCGGAGCCAGCCGTCAACGCCGTGAGACCGGCAGCTGGCTCTTCGGACAGTTCGTCCCACAAGGCGGACAGGGCGGCGGCTACAATGAAGGAGGTGGCGGCGGATGAGGCGGTAATGGAGGAGTAAGCCTAAAAAAAAGCTAGCTAAACCCTCAATTCCTAGGGCGGCGGCTCAGGCGGCTACGGCCCCGTGGTCAACGCCGAACCCGGCCCGACCTGCTGCGCCTGCCAACAAGGAGTCGCTGGACCTCCCGGGCCCCCAGGAGACGATGGCCCACACGGAAATGATGGGGCGCATGGTCAGCAAGGCGCCCCCGGCAAAGATGGACAGATCTTGAGCTCGGCCATCCCACTCGCTGAACCGTGCATCATATGCCCGACTGGCCCACCCGGGCCCACCGGTCAACAGGGACCCAAGGGACCGCCTGGGCCCAAGGGTAAGTCTGCTGAGCGGGCTGAGGATGGAAAGAAGGGCGACAATGGTATGAGTGGGCCGCCTGGTCCGCCCGGAACTATTGGCGAGCCCGGACCTCCAGGACCACCCGGACAGCCTGGTCGTGTTATTCAGGTAATTAATTCCCTCGTACTTCATAGATCCAGAGTTGATCCCCCGCTAACAGCATAATACCGATAAAATTTAGGTGAACGGACCCGCCGGTCCAACCGGACCCCGTGGACCTAAGGGACCCACAGGACCTCGTGGACAACCCGGTATTGATGGCCGTACTGAGGTCGGAGATATGGGACCTGTTGGTGACGCCGGAGGGCCCGGGCCTGCTGGCCAGCAAGGGCCCATTGGACCTCCTGGACCGCCCGGACCAACCGGTAAGCGAAGAAAATTATGTGAAGGAAAGAATTCTCCTCATTTTTCCTAGAACCGTGGCACCCAGGTGTCTAAAAGGTCTAAAAACTCTCTTTGCCGAACACCTTGAAAACTTTCAATCAGAGAATTTGAGGAATTTCTTGGGAAGATTAATTTAGGAAAAGAAAAACGATTTTTTTCAGGCGAGGAGGGCTCATGCGATCATTGCCCCGAGCCGCGCACACCGCCCGGCTACTAACAAGCATCGGATCTCGGAGACCACTCGGCCCGGTGGTCCCATTTCCGACGCTCCCTCTCACCATCTGACAACTGCCTCGCTCGCTCACATCTGTACATACATTTCTTAAATCGTATTTATCGCACATGACTCGGCCCTTTTATAAATATTTGCCCACTATTCGTTTACGGCACAAAAGGAAAATATACAGTACTTCGGCCCGGTGCTAATGCAGTTAGGGGGGGGGGCAGTCCAAAATTTGTAGTAAGGGGTTACGAGGCGCTCCGCTTAAGCTACTTGGTTTTTGGCTTAAGCCTAGGCATAGCTTAGGTTTAACTAAGCCTAACTGAGGCTTAGGCTTAAGCCTAAGCCCAAGCTAAGCTTATCTTGAGCTTCAAATTGACTTACGAGGTCAAAATGGGGTCATTTATGGGTTAGCTTAGAACTAAGCTTAGCTTGGCTCAAGCTAAGCTCAGGCTTCGTTTGTTTGAAGCTAAGCCTAGGCTTAGGCTTAGCTTAGCTTTTCCAGAGGCTTCCAGTTTAAAAAACGGCATTTGGAGCGTCTTGTAGTCAAAATCCAGACTGCCCCCCCCCCCCGGCTTGATTCAAGTTTACGGTACTCTCCCAAAATGCGGTTTTTTGTGTTGCAATCGCTAAATAAAGGTCAGAAACGGACTCAGCGACAAAAATTAGGTGGCGGCCGGCACTTTTTAGGGGAGAAAACCTCATTTTAGTTTTGAGATCGAGTACCGTAAAGTAGTATACGGGGGTGACTACTTTACGGTACTCGCCCAAAATTTTATTTTTTCTGCATGAATAGAAACAGCAAGGTCTGAAAAGCATTAATCAGCAAAAATAAGTGGGCGGAAAGGCCTAAAAAGGAGAGAATCGGCTACAGATTCCATATCTCAACAACAACTCAATCACACCCAGTTCAAGCCTAAAAATAAGGCTTCGTGCCACCCGGGGCCTAGTCGCTTCGGATGGGTGCGAGCTCGTACAGTGTTTCGAAATCGGGGCGCCCGAGGAGCGCGAAGCGCCCAGGCGCCCTGATTTCGAAAGAGTGGAGCGGCAGCCCATCCGAAGCGACGGCCCGCCTTGCCCGACATGTCATAAGCCTGAAACTTCGAAGTCCCAAATCACCCCTTTTCAGGCCTTTCCGCCCACTTATTTTTGCTGATTATTGCTTTTCAGACCTTGCTGTTTCTATTCATGCAGAAAAAATAAAATTTTGGGCGAGTACCGTAAAGTTGTCACCCCCGTATACTACTTTACGGTACTCGATCTCAAAACTAAAATGAGGTTTTCTTCCCTAAAAAGTGCCGGCCGCCACCTAATTTTTGTCGCTGAGTCCGTTTCTGACCTTTATTTAGCGACCTGAGCACAAAAAACCGCATTTTGGGAGAGTACCGTAAACCTGAATTTCCCCCCCCCCCAAGTGCATTAGCACCTTCGGCCCTTTTGTAGAAAATTTTATCGTCTTTACAAAATGTTGAACAAAAGGAACTAACAAAAAAGAAAAGAAAAAAAAAATCCGATTTTCGGCGTTCCGAGCACAACTAACGGCACTATTTTGGTCATAGGATTGTCGCGGAAAAGCAAAAGCAGTCGCAAATTCTCGCTTTTTTTATGAAAATTCGATTTCTCGCAAAGGCTTTTTTATGAAATTTCATAATTTACAAAAATCAAAAAGTTTTGAATATTAGAATCGAGCAAATTTTGTATAGGCAATCCTATTGACCAGATTGCGGCCTGTTTTCGCTTGCGTAACCTATCTTTTCACCCTCTCCGCCTTCTCTGACCTTGACAGCCGTTTCCTGGGTGCCGGGAACTGTCCGAATTCCAAAATTTCATCCGTTCTGCTTACCTATGCTTTCTTCTTTTAGTTCTACGGTTCATTTAACTGAAATTCTAAACAATCAAATACCATTCAGGTCTCCGATGAGCGTCCAACCGGCGGATTATGATTCGTTTGATGAAGACGATGGCCAACGAGATCAAAAAGAAAACGCAGGTATAGAAATTCAACGTTCATGTAGTGGAATTTAGCTGCAAATGACTCTTTCGACGATCCTCCCGTTGATAATTTGACGGTGTCTTCACTTCAACAAACTACTGAGGGCCCCTTCAAGCCGGCGTCTGGCCATGACGGTTCATTTATAAGCGCAAACTTATGCCTTTTTTTAGTTGCAGTTGGGTCCGCTCGTATAGAGCAACCGGCAAGGATAGTCCCGAGTCCTCGTGTCATCAAGGCAACCGGAGATGTTGAAAAGTAAGGTGAAGCTGTCTGGGTTTTATTTTTGAGCTCCATATTTTGTTTAATGAAGACTAACGTAATAATAATAACATTTAGGCCCACAGTGAGCGTCCGGCCGGCCGACTATGATTCGTTTGATGACGACGACGGCCCATCAAACCGAAAAGAGGATCCAGGTATGACAATTCTGCGGTTGTAACATAATTTTTAGTTGCCTATGATTCGTTTGACGATGACGACGGCAAATTGGACCAAAAAGAGAATGAAGGTACGGGAATTTAACCGGAATAATAGTGAAATTTAGCTGCTCACGACTCTTTTGACGATCTTCCTGATAATTCGGCAAGGTCATCGCAGCAACAAGCTTTTGAGGGATTCAAGTCGGCATCCGGCGATGACAGTAATTTTATGTGGAGAATTTTATAGTTTTTTAGTTGTAATTGATACGGCTCGGCTTGAGCAGGCGGCGAAGATAATGCAGAATCCTGATCTCAGCAAGGCAACAGGAGACTTTGAAAAGTAAGGCGAACCCGTCTAGATAAAATTTTTCACTTTAGGTTGCGTCCTGCCTCTACTCCATATTTCAAGGGTGCTAAGGCGGGTGGCGATTTCCAACCTCCGTAAGCATGAATTGGTTTTTGAAAAGACAACCAATTCAGGCTGGCGAGTAAATTGCAAAGCCCGGACCCGACTACTTCTTCGAAAAGGGCCAGATTCTCGAATACATCGTTCAAGTCTCCATTGGTGTCTGGTAACTTGATTTCCCTTTCTTTTACCAATTTTCCAGCCCACGAACCATCCTCGGCGCTGGATCCGGCTGCGTTAGGCAATGATCTGAGTAAGCACAACATTTTTTTTGGCGAATCCTGCTTTAGCTCCCAAGCGAAAGCTGCCGCAGCGCGATGTTGCCAACCGAATCTGAAGCCGCCCGATCTTTCCTGCCACTTTGTTCTAGAGTCTTTGGTTTGATTGTACATTTTACAACCTGATAATTAGTCGCTAAAATTCCAAAATCACCGGTTTCCACCCAATTGTGATCTCTATACGTTAACGTGTTTCTATTTCGATCCGCATGGTCCAACGCTCTTTTCAATTTCGATTTTATGTGCTCGAATTAACGAATACCTTTTGCCTCTCGGAACATAAAGAGATTTTCCGGATCTGGTTGACCTCAATTACTTGTTTTTATGCGGTCCGCCCCCCAGGGGAAAGCGGCTGACCGATATCAGCCGGTTGCTGTGGTAAAAACTGCGGGGTTTTGAGGAAGGAGTGCGCTTCAGTCATACCAGCTGCAAAATGTGGAAGCCGGATGCGAGAGTTTTGACTGTCTGCTCAACAGTTATTTCCACGTTTGCCCTTTTCGCTATTATTATTGTACTCCCCATCTTGCATACCCGGGTCCAGAAGACGACGAGTCTTTTGCTTGCTGGGGTTGATTTGTGCAAGGTAGGGTGCTGGAAACTGGAAGAACCTCTCGATAACGCTTTTAGCTTGAATCGCGGGACATATGGAAACAAGTCACGGTGATTCCCGGAAGGCGTGAAAAACGACAATATGCTGAAGGAGCTAATGGTAGCGAAGGATTCTGGATCAAAAATATAATTTTTTTAGGGGTCGGCTCTAGGAAAAGACCCGCAATTACTTGTTGCTCGTGCAGCCAAGGACAACCAGGGCCACGAGGAGACCCGGGCCAAGATGGGCAGCCAGGTATTGCAGAATACAAAAAAAATAGGCCCTCTGCGCAGGCGTGGATGGAAAAGCCGGCGATCCGGGAAATGATGGGAGCACTGGGACCTATCTGCCAGCTCCTCCATCTGGCTCTACTGCCTGTCAAAAGGTTAGTTGCAGCATGGCTCAAGCGGTTTTGCAAAAAAAATCGAGGATCTGTTTGAAAGAATATCTGTTTTACACCGTTTCTTAGTGACCAAATTTGGACGAAATTTTAGATTTAATAACTGTTTTATCGGTTTTATAAACTGTGTCCCACTTGAAATGTAGCGAAATTTCATCAGAAATGCCAAATTATAGGAAACACTAGAAAAAAAAAATCATGATTTAGTGTCCGCCCGGCCCGCCCGGCCCACCCGGAAATCCCGGAGCAAAAGGCGCTCGCGGACCAGCAGGCCATCGCGGGAAATCAGGTCGCCCCGGCGAAGGAAGCAGATCGGGCCCACCGGGGCCCCCAGGGCTTCGCGGGGAACCAGGGCCACCGGGGCCCAAGGGTTCATTGGGTGATCGCGGCAAGGTGTTGAACGGCGCGCCACCGGGAGCCGCGGGGCCCTCGGGGAGGTTGGGACCTCGAGGGGCACCAGGGGGTAGGGGCCACGATGGGAAGCCCGGGATGGGTGGTGTTCAGGTGGGAGGTTCCGGAAATACTCAAAAAAATTAACGCTTTTTAGGGAATCAGAGGGGCTGTCGGGAGCCGCGGTGACGATGGAAGCACTGGGCTTATGGGGCCGCAGGGTCCGAAGGTGAGCTTGAAAATGACTTAGTATTTTGATACGTTTTCAGGGTGATTCGGGGATGCCGGGCGGATGCGGGCATTGTCAGGAGAAAAAGCCCGAGAAGCCGGCGGCAGACATTCAACCGGCTGGTTATGATTATGGAGTTGCGGCGGTATGTTTTTGGATAGGTTTCGAGATTGTTAGAACCTCGAATTCTGAGTATGACTCCAGAAATGCTTACTTACGTCATAGTAAGTATTTCGAATAAGGTTTTATATAATTTAGCTAGATTTCAAGTGGAAAACTTATCTAAAAAGCTGAAAAATTAAAGATTCCAAATTTTGGTCGAAAATCGCTAATTTTTGTGCTTTTCAATAGAAACTTTTTAGGTTTATGTTCTTAAAAATAGTAGACATATAATAGAAACACTTCCTCTATTCAATATTAGTGAAAACAGACGCTAACGAAACAGTGCGAAAGAACCCTTCGAGGTTTTGAAAAAGTGCTGCTTTCTAGCTTTCGATATACAATTATATATTTAAAAATTTTCCAAGTTTTTGATGCTGATCTTCGAGATTTAGATAGACAAATATATGCTTAACCGTTTCTTATTCTCAGGCTCCACCAAGCCGAGCACCACCCGCCCCGAAACAAAAGAAGCATCGCGGCCATCACCCACGGGCACGGAATTGCACAGCGTTAGTCCAGGGTTGCTATGGCGCGCCCCAGCGACAGTACCCCAGCCGAGCCTTTTCGGGGTCTCTTCCTCTCATCTTTCAACGCGTAATTGGACACAAAACCCAAGGAAACCGAGAATAGATGAAAGAATAAAACTAATTAATTGTATGAAGAAAATTTGGGAGGTTTAGATGTTGATACTGACTGTTTTGCTGCCTTTCATACTCATAAGATTGAAATTTCCACACAATGGCGCAAGTGCCGGGTTATTTTGACGACGATTTTTCTTTTATAGGAGAATGGAGCTAGTCGGGGCCGTAATATCTGCATTATTCACCGTTTTGAGCACGGATTCTTGCATTTAATCGTGAAATCATTTCGTGAATACATAAAATTGATTTCACTGACTTCATTTAACGTTCCAGAAGCCATTATAGTTCAGCATCGCTTGTCGGAGCCCAGTTTCTGAAGTTTCTGGGCGTTATCATTCGTTTTTAGCTATTTAACACATGGTTTTTCGAAGGTAGTATGGCTTTTATCATTAAGTTTTGTTCAAAGCCTGCTATTGTGGTGTGCTATTATCTCCAAAACTGTAAACTGTATAAATGAAAAAAGAAGCTGAAGCTTGAAAGTAGAAGCTTACTAGGCGTTTTGCTGAAATTACTTGACTTTTAATTGAAGAATAGGCTTACCTTGGCTTTAATCTGTTTAAATGGCGTACGTGCAGCGGACATTAGCTTTAATATACCGCTCCTCTCAAAAAACAGGGTAGTTGACGAGCTTCGCGTACAGCCCACATAAGGTGGGTTAAGCAAGGCTTACACTTGGTCATACTAAAGCAGGGCTCAAGCTAGCTTAGCTTTTACATAAACTTACAGCTTAAGCATCGTTTGAGGTTTCTTGCGTTAAAAAATTTGCCTTCCTCGCATCGGAAAACGGCATCGACATCGCTAAAATTCCGACGGAACCAGTGTAGTAATTATTACAAAGTTAATTTACACATCCATATTATCAAGTTGGAAAGCCGGCTGGCTTTGCCTGATGAGCTAGACCTTGCGTGGCTACTAAAAACGTTGCTGCTCTACTGTGCTCATGAATTCAAGATGAAAAGCCTGAAACAAATGCGCAGAATCAGCTAAAATGTCATAAACGCACTAATAAAATAGCGAGAGATTAAGTCAAACTCTTGCTCAAAGCAAAGCCGCCTAACCTTGTAGTCGGTCGCGTAGCTAACCCTGTTGCTATTTAGATAGATCGTCTCACTAAGCTATGGAGCGTCATCTTTTTGGATATAACTGTAACAAGGATCCGTCAATTAAAAGCTGACGGTGAATAATAGTCACAAGTTAATTGCTATACGCACGCGACGTTGTTTTTTTGTGGGCTCTGGCAAAAAAAAAGAAAAATGGTCGTCAAAATAACCCGGCACTTGCGCCATTGTGTGCAAATTTCAATCTTATGAGTATGAAAGGCAGCAAAACAGTCAGTATCAAGATCTAAACCTCCCAAATTTTCTTCATACAATTAATTAGTTTTATTTTTTCATCTATTCTCGGTTTCCTTGGGTTTTGTGTCCAATTACGCGTTGAAAGATGAGAGGAAGAGACCCCGAAAAGGCTCGGCTGGGGTACTGTCGCTGGGGCGCGCCATAGCAACCCTGGACTAACGCTGTGCAATTCCGTGCCCGTCCATCACCCAGCCCGACCCTCAACCAGTCCCTCACCACCAACCGACCAAGGCCAATCGCCCGGTTCATATTGGGGATTCTGAGAATAAATGGGGTCCACCGGGGCGCGGCAGAGGATTCCGGCTGCCGGAAAACTCATCGACCCGGAAAAACAAACACAAGCACACACACATTAGAGCGGCCGGTTGGCGAATTCGATTTGGGCGATGCGAGGGGAGCCACCCGGGTCTCCGCCATGGGGTCCCCCAGGGCATTTAGAGGGGAGCTCCATCTAAACGTTCTCCCCGCGAGCTGCTGCTGCTGCTCGAGCCGTTTGTCGATGGTTCCCGGGGTCACTCCAAGCTGGTTAATAATCACATTTTGCAGGGTTGGAGGTCATTTTCTATGGCCGCGGCGCGTTGTGATTAAAAATCCTGGTACTGGGTGATTAGCGGGGGGGGACTCGATCTACCCATACCTACCTAGCAAAACTGCTAACGTTTTGTGGCGTATTTTGATATGCTGTGGCTCTACTGTATATACACAATTTTTTTTGGCACTGGGCTGTTAGCGGGGGGTCACCTTGCCTCTACCTACCCATCCAAATGACTTAAGAATTTGATAGTGTATTTTTAACCGCATTTAGTCGGTTTTTGATTGCTAAAAATTAGAAAAAGGTTTTTAGACAATTTTAAAACTTAGTTTTCATCATTTTTCATAGATTTTTGGGAACAAAAAAAAAACAAAAATTGGTTGGTGCGTTAGGGGGGGGGGGGAAGGATAGGCCACGCTCACATGATTTTGCTTTGCTTTCCTTTCCGGCCACTGGAGGCAGATCCAGACCCCCGCAAATGAACCAGAACCAAAGGATTTTCGGTGGTTTTAATGCTTTTTTATGCTTTATGTATTCCTTTATTTTAAATTAGCTTTAAAACGGCGTAAAAAGCTATATAAATTGCCTGTGACATTACCGTCACCTTCGGGATGAGCGCGCAAAAATACAGCTCCCATGGCCCAAAGCTGATGAAGCTGAACAGGTTGGATGGGGGTAAATCGGCTTGAGCATTCCGGGGTGGGTCCTCTCCTCTCCACTCGTCCATTCAGCCGGTGAATGGGCCCAAAGTTGCCTCTGCATTTCCCATCATAGCCATCCAGTCAGCCAGAGCCAGAGCTCCTCGCCTGGCCGAATCCGCGGCCCAGTCCCAATTTCATATCGGGCCCCGCAGCGTTGAACGGGTGACAGTCAAAGTAGATTTATTGTGTCCTGTTGCATTATCGGGGGGGGGGGTGGCGCGGGGGGTATAATTAAAGAAAATATCGAAAATACCGATTTTTCGACAAAAACCGTCCATTTTCGACCAAAAACGAAAAAAAGCGAAAAAAAAAAATCGAAAAACGAGTTATATTTTACTAACAATTGTAATTGTAATTGTAAGATCCGATAAAATGCCTAAATTAAGGCCCAAGCTGAAGCCAAAACCCGCGCCTAAGGCCTAAGCTAAGCGCAAGCCTAAACCCTACGCAAGCCTAAGCCCTACGCAAGCGGAAGCCCGCCTACGCCAAGCCTAAGCCAGGCCCAAGCCTACGCTTAAGCCCACGCCCAAGTCTAAGCCTAAGCACTTACCCAACCCAACTTATTAGGCGTTTCTTTTGGTGGGTCCCTACCTAGGATAGCTACTAGTTAGAGGATATGGATTCAAGTGGTTGAAGAGACTCTCTCTCTCTCGCTCGCTCTCTCTCGCTCTCTCTCTCTCTCTCGCTCTCTCTGTACCTCTCTCTCCATTAGGGACAATGGATGGCTGCCGGGGCGGAATCCCGATGGCTGAATGACCAATCCGCGCACTTCCCCTCCAACCCTTAGGGCCCAACAGGACCCAGGAGGGCCCAGGTGAGGGGGGGGGGTGGAGCTTCAGGCACCGGGTCATTCCTCGGTCGTTCGATTAATATTGTCAAGTGTATTTTTATCTTTATATTTTTTCACTTTTTGCTTTTGTATGCAAAATTACTTTCGCCATCTTTTTTGTTTTAATTTACTTCTACATTCACTTCCACATTTGCCTAGAAATGTAATCAATATTATTTTCATAGTTTTTGGGTTCTTTTACATTATCGGGGGGACTGGAGGTGTTTTTCTTTGTAAATTCCGCCAATTTTGTGGTCTAAAAAGAAAAAGGCGTAATTTAGAAACTCACGTTCAGCCATCTGATGCGGTTAATTGAAGCGCCACTCTGATGATCAGCTCATTTCTCAGTCTACCACTCTCCCATCGGCAGCGAAGGTAGGGCTTATCTATAGAAATACGCCACGCTACAAAATACAATCTTCTTAAAAACCATAGTTATTTTGGAGCTGGTTGCTTAGCGGGGGGAGAAAACGTAACTTTATCCGATGTTCCCGCAGCAAAAAGCAGCATCTGACGCCGTTTGTTCATGTAATTCGTTCATAAACATGAAAAAATATTAAACTTTGTAATTTTCGGTTTGATTACCCACCTCCCCCCGCTAACGCACCAGAACCGCTCTTTTTAGGATACTACGCAGATTGCGGCGGTTGTTGTGCGGGCGACGCTTGCCGCAGACGTGGAATACTGTACTTTGTCTTTTGTCAATCCACATGTTTGTATTTTTGTACGCTATTAGATACCTTGAAGCTGTAGGTACCTCACCGTACCCGTCATTTTTGCTGCCGGAATTATTGAATGCGAGCTGAAGGGGTTGTTTCGACCTTTTAAAGTAGGTTTTTCATTTTTCTAAAAAACTTTTTTTGTTTGATTTGACTTTGATTTTATTAATTGTTTTTTAAGCTTTTTGGAGCCTAGGTACCGTGGTAAATTTATCCGATAAGCCTTTAAGAAAATTTTTTAGGAAAAATAGTTTTTTGAAAACTTGGATTTCTAGGAATTGCAAGAGCGCGGCATTTTGCTGGGCGAAATCGACGAGGACGTGTTTGATGTGTTCTATGCAAATGAGGACGCCGAATTGGACTGAAATGACAATTCTACTACTGTTGCTTACGGGTCCGATAAAGCTCAATATTTGAACGAGAAAGAAGGAATACCGACAAAAATAATAAACTTGGATTGATCTGTTATTTTACGTGTGGGCGATTTTCGGACTATTTAATTCTGGTGTGAGTCGGTCACCGCCAAAACGTCCCTGAAAAAGTTTGGTGCTTTCGCATTATCGGGGGGCAACTTTTCCAGCATCCAATTTTTATAATACAAACCGAGGTAGTGTTTTTACTATTTTACTATTGCGAAACGTACAAACTTTACAAAAGTTTACTAATCAAAAAATAACGATTTCTCAAATTAAAAAAAACCCGATTTTCTACTTAAATGCAGAAATTTAAGACTTTTTAAAAGTTTTAGAAGTTTTTAGAAGTTTTCCACTACAAATATTATTAGATTTTACTAAAAATACGATTATAATACTTACTAAAACGTTACTAGGCATTTTTGGTATATGAAAAATTCGATCGCTCCTCCCCCGATAATGCCAAAGTACCATTTCGCCGTTATGCCCCGGTTTTCTTTTCTTTTCTTTTCCATCCGGTGGGGGTTGGGGTGGATAAACATAGCCATGTCAGGGGGTCAGCTGGCCCTGGCTCAATTCCCCGCTACTCCCCGTTTTTTCCTTTTTCCGTTTTTTTTTTCGGTGTGTTCCCCTTGCTTCTCTATTTTCTCCTTCTCTTTTCAATCTTTTTCCATTTCCACTCTTCTCCCTAGTCACCATCCCCTCTTCCGATAGCGCCTTTGCGGGTGGGGGAAGAGAGCCCATTTTCAGGTTTTGCACAGCCTCCCCCATTTCCCATTTTCAACGTGCAAATAGCCATGGATCCGGGTTGTTTTCTTGGTGATTTTAGGTGTTAAATTGTTACCTGACCTTTCCGGAGTATGTTTCCGGTTTTTTAATACTTTTTATGCCTCCTTTACCTACTCTCGATATTTTCGCAGCTTTTCTAACTAGATTGTTAACTTTTGGCCGGGTTTCCGGTTACCTGAAATTTAAAAACCGACCTTCCTCGCTTAGAATGTATCTTTTCAGAATAAAAAAATAGGTCGGGAAGTCCTCTAGCTATTCTTAATCTTTTCTTTGCTTATCTAGCGTACTTTCTCACTTTTAATCCAGGTTTCCGGTTGCCTTCTATCGACAATTCTCACTTTATATCATAAAATCTGCTTTTTATGATGTTTCCTAAATTCTCACACTTATTTTTTATTGTTTATTGTATTATTATTATTTTTTTTTTTTGTTACTTTTCGGTCCAATTCAGCTTTCCACAGCTCGTCAAGCCTTCCACGACGAGCACCCAGAACTATGAGCAGCAAAATTGGAGCTGGTTCGATTTTAAAGTTTTTAAAAACTATTTAATTTTTAATGTCTAAAAAATCTTTGCCTTTGGAACTTGCAAAAAGTTATTTGAATCTTCGCGCCCGCCGTTGACGCCTCAACTTTGCTAATAGCCCATCAAAAAAGGGAGTCAGCGTTGCTGCCGTTAATCCAAGCGATAAGCGGCGTCTCACCTAGGTGTTCCCGAATTTCACACAAAAGAAAAAACGGTGCTTTGGCATTATCGGGGGAGGGGAGAGGATCGTTTCTGTTGAAAACCAGCCATTTTTAGTCAAAATCGACACTTTTCGTATTTTTTTTAGTAAAAAGCGGAGAAACAGGTCCGTTCTCCATATTTGAAAATTGGCTATTAAAGCGCACGTTCAGGGAGGGGCCGTGTACTCGTCGCAACGTGTACACCCTATGGACGTAGGGACCGCGCGCATTGCCTGCCCGTGCCGTAACAGGCCATTCCGCTCCTTGGCGGCGTGGGGCGCCCCTCATCCCCTCGCTAGGTTGTAGCTGTGGCTGATTGGTATGCATCCGCGCTTCCCGAGCGGGGGGCCCGGGTTCGACCCCCGGACCAAAAATCTTTGCTTTTTTTCCAAAAAAAACGTCCCTGGACGTGCCCTTTAAAGAGGAAAGTTGCCCCCCCCCTGGTAACGCGAAAGAACCGGAGCAAAAGCAAAATTTTAAAATTTTCCATATTTTTTGAGACTTTCAGCACACAGCCTGCGGATAGAAGTGGAAGCCGTTGACGTGGAGCTGGATGAGGATGGGAGTATCTCGCATAGTTCGCTTCAATCCGCCTTTCCAGGTACAAGACAGTTAATTTTTGTTTATAAAACGTATGCAGGTTGTTCTGGACTGTACTACAAGGGTACCGACTGCCGGCGGGCCGTCAGATTTGATGGGAAAAAGTTTCAGCCGCCGGGTGGAGCGTGGAATGATCGGTGGGTGATTTTAGGGATTTCAGCCAGAATACCGACAGCCAAAATGGCGAGTGCAAAATCCCGACACCCCAAAGTGGCTATAGGTCATCGGTAGCCCCCCACTAAGAGCACAGTCCCGTATTTTGTTAGATAAAACCATTCCCAGATCGTATTTCGTCTCACTTGGCGCCCGGTGCCACGCCCCATTTGGATCCTACGAAACGGCAAGCAAACAATTCGAAAGATCGGTGACCGCCGTCCAACGGATGCTGGGATCGTCCGTTTTTGGTGGGCCGTCAAGACCAAGCTGTTCAGGCTGATCCATTCAGAAATGCCGGCCAGACGTTCGTTGCGTGAACCAAGGAGGCAGCCAGCGACCGGTGATTACTCTTCGGCGTCTACGGTTGTAAATGATTTGCCGCAGATTTCTAGCCCAGGTAAGTACAGTCGTTTGGCAGGAATTTAACGTTGTTAAGTTCCATCCGCTCCTGTTTCGCTGGCTGACGGTGCGCGAGAAGATGAAGCCGTTCAAAAGGTCAGTTAGCGATAGACTTTGAAATTTCGGGGTTACTTTCGAAAACGAAAATCACTTTTTGTGCTATATTTTCGAAAATTTCGCGCTTCTGGCTCGATTTTTTGTCATTATCGGGGCGGGATTTTGTTATAAGTCTAGAAATGCTTATTAACGTAATCGTACGCGTTTTAATAGCTTGTTCGTAAACAATATTCGAAAACGCAAAACTTGTGCTTTGGCATTATCGGGGGGAGTCAACCTTTTCTCTAAGATTGAATTTCTTTAATATAAATGGCGACATTGTTTCGACAAGTCTTATACGCTAGAAATTTACAAAATATCGATTTTCCTAGGCCAAAATTTCAAAATTTGATAGATTTTTTCAATTTAAATAGAGTTAAATTTCGTTAAAACACTATTAAAGTATTTACTATTACGTTATTAGGCATTTCTGGGGTCATACAAATAAAATTCGGTTTCTTCTCCGATCCCCCCGATAACGCGAAAGGACCTGATTTTCAAGGATGTGAATGGAAACTCAGTATTAGCAATGAAACGGAATCTGCGGATTCAGAAAGATATGCGCCACCTCCGGACCGAACGACCATCCGATGGGGATATTCTGGAAGGGATCGAGGAGCGAGGACGGCAGCTAAAATCCGCCCAACGTCGTCTACAGCCCATCGAGCAGCAGTTCATCGATTTGGCCAGGATATCGACGGGGAAAGACCAAATTATTGAGGGGCTTCGACAAGAGCTAAAGGCAGCACAGGGTCAAGCTGAACAAAACGCGAGGTGGGTTAGGTGAATTAGATAAGTAGCTTTTGCAGTATCGGAGGGGCCTTAGGATCCAATTTGTTTTAAATACACGACGTGTTTCTTTATCTGTTTTTTTTTAATATTCCCAAAAGCCAAAAATTTAGAAATCTTATTACAAATACAAAGTTGCTGTTTTTCGACCCAAAAACGAAATACGCCCGCCCCCCCGTTAATGCAAAAGAACCTGGAAATCTACACCGGTTTTCAGGAAACTTGCCGATGTCGAGGGCGAGCTCCGTGCCTGCCAGGGTCGGCTTGCCGCTCAGGAGGAGGAGCTGAACCTGTTGCGCGGGATGTGCGCCGGGCAGACGAACACTAATGAACGGGTTGGCCTAAAGATTATTCTGATTGATTTTGATTGATTTATTCTCTAGGTAAGCCAGCTGTCCAGTGAACTGCTCCGTAAGGACGAGGAATTATCCACCAGTCGCGCCGAGGCCGCCCAAAAAATTGCCGCATTAACGAAAGAGGGGCAGGAGCTGAGGGCCAGGCAAGTTTTTTGGTTTTACGGGAGACTCTGGCCTGTTTTTCAGTAATTCTAGCCTCTCCGTACGCCTGGAAGAAGCCAAACAGGCACTCGATGTGCGACGAGTAGACGCTGAACGGCTTGAGGGCGAGAACGAGCAGCTGCTGAAGGAGTTGGCCGGGTTGAGGCAGATTAGGGATGAGCTGAAGATTGAGGTATGGGTGCTTTGGCACTAGCGGGGGGGGGGTCACTTTTGGCTTATACAACCCCCCCCCCCCCGATGATGGAACAGAACCGGGGTGTGGAAAATTTGGATTTTGGGTCAATAATGTATGAAAGTAGGCGGAAATTTATATTTTTTAATTTTTAAAAACTTTAGCTACCAAAAACGTCAAAAATGCTTTAACCCCCGCTAAGAGTCCAGCACCAAAAATTTTTGCAGACCGTGGAAACGGCGGCCGAGTGGCGCCAAAGAATGGAACGGCTGATGAAGGTTGGAGAAGATCATCATCGGCTGAGCGAGGCTTTTGAAGAGGTTCGCTCAGGGTGAATCCTGTAAATTTTCTAGATCCGAAGTCAGCATGCCAGCGTGCAGGGCATGGCCGCCCAGTTGACGGACGACAATACGAGACTGTTGGGGAGTAATAAGGAGCTGAAGGCGAGGGTTGAACTGCTCGAGAACGAGCTCGACATGCTGAACCAGAAGTGGAAGCAGAACTCGGAGACAAAGGAGGCTGTATGGGAGGAGAAGGTGAGGAATTGCTGAAATTCGGCGATTTTGGGTACTGGACTGTTAGCGGGGGACGCTACGCCCACGCCTCTCTAAATAGCGCCCCTCCCCGCTAATGAACCAGAACCGAAAATTCGGGTTAGCGATAATTCGCCATTAAATGCACCCGTTTTAGCGCACAACTCTCGAGGT